GAAAGGGACAACAAATACAACACTATCATATCAATCAAAGCAGTGAGCTATAAAATGTTAACACAATAACGATCTGCATAATTTTGAATGATAGAAACTTGTTAATAAGGTTTGTTTTCTCCTGACGAAAATCTGCTCTTTTAGTTATAGAATATTCTAATCTCCCAGGCCACCGAAGAAGTAGTTGAGGGGTCTCACAGAGAGATCCATATTAATTGGGCGAATCGTAGTCACATGCCATTCCTCTCTACTTCTTTGTAAATAAATCTTCTAAAAATGCGCGCGAATCCGAAAAATACAGTAGTTGAGGGGTCTCACAGAGAGATCCATATTAATTGGGCGAATCGTAGTCACATGCCATTCCTCTCTACTTCGTTGTAAATAAATCTTCTAAAAATGCGCGCGAATCCGAAAAATACATTAACGGTGACCACAAAAAACGGATGAACTCTGAATAATCGCCACAGAATAAACGACTGAAAGGGACAACAAATACAACACTATCATATCAATCAAAGCAGTGAGCTATAAAATGTTAACACAATAACGATCTGCATAATTTTGAATGATAGAAACTTGTTAATAAGGTTTGTTTTCTCCTGACGAAAATCTGCTCTTTTAGTTATAGAATATTCTAAATGATTTATTACACAAATTATTTCTGGATTACTTTAAGTTATATATACATGTATTTCCCCCCCGCACCTAGTCTATTTTTATTTCTATCTTTTGCGAGCTTTTGTTGCACTAAAATATAGATTTACAGACAGTGTAATGTTGGTTGTTATGAAATTTCGAGCAGTGTCCTTCAGTGTCGCATGATTGTATGGATGATTTAATATTATGACATTTGTTTTCATGATCTTGCTGAAGGCAACCCCACAGGCTCGCAATGAGAAAAGGTCATGTGAAGAATACTACTTGCTGTAGTGAGCAACATTTATTGACTTGTTTTCTTGCTGCTATGGATTTAATTTCTAATGACTGCAGCTTGTTTAGAGCAATTTTACAAAGAGTGTCTTTTGAATTGAAAGCGAACACAAATTCTGTTTAATTTAAGGTAGAGAATAAATAATTTCAGGACATATTCAGAGTTCAGTATCTTAGACTGCTAAGATATCTGTGATTTACCATTACCCATATGCTACAGACATCTTCAGTTTCTCAGCAGCAGAGTACAAGCATAACACATTGCTAACAGCTGTCTAAACTGTGGTATGCAATCACATGTTTGTGAAGTGTAAGTTCAAGAACAAACAGACAAAGAACCTTTGAAAGGAGTGAAGATCCAGCCACTTGCATCTAAATATGCACAAATTCTGATTTAGCTCAGATTCTTAAGCAATGGATGATGATGGGAATTTTGTAGCCACAAAACAGAAAACAAAGGTATTTCTACATTATGGATAGTTGTATGAAAAGTTGTATGATAAGTTTGTGACAAAAAAAAAAACAGCTGTTGAGTGTTAAGTTGACAGGAAGGAAAAGGTTGTCGAACTATCAAAACTAAAATCCAATACTGAGGCAAATTTATGGCTTTAGTTGTTAGGAATATCTACGGAACAAACCAAGCCTGTCAACTTTTTTAATCTTAGTGCTAACTGGAGAAAAATAATAGAATATCAGAACGTTTTGAGCAATCTGAAAACCAAACCTTCACGTTATCCAAGTCTGTCATGGGCCAGTCTAATATTAAAATCCCGCTTTCAATAGATGAAGTTTGACACATTAAAAACGGTCTCTGTTGGATTGAAACTTGCGCAAATAAGAAACCTGCTGCCAAATAAGCAACCGCAATAAGAAGCAGGGATCTGTGGTTGACAAGAGCTTTAGGATGACAACATGTTCAAAACGTTCTCTGGAACTCTTTCAAATTGTACCAATACCTCAGCAGAAATGTGGTTTCTGGTGTTGGAACATAATGTGCGAGTCTTTCTCAAATCTGTGTTAAATTGCTTAGATAATAGCTCAGGGACAGTTATGCCACAGATCAGGGTTCCAAGAACAGTTATTCACTCCAGGTGTTATTTAGAGGGAACTAATGCAAGAAGCTCAAGGAAAAGTAGTGTTGGGTCAGTCTTAAAAATAAGAACAATATAGAAATGTCTTTTTGTTGCAAAACCTTGAGAGATTTGCACAATACAACTGCTGTGTTTCTAGTGTTTCTAATGCAAAACCATATTATTATGAATCAGACTTTTGGTATACTATTATATATTAAGGTCAAATCCTAGTTTGTCATGTTACTCTCACGTTGCAAGCGAGCATTCAATATATTTAACCTTGCATCCTGATTTTGAGCAGCCCATGTCAAGAACACATTAGAGGACCAGACTAAACATCTCCCATGGTAGAGGATGCCTGTTAGGGTGATCATAACACTAAATATGCAACTGAAAGTGTGTGCTAGAAATGGACTAATCTAAAAGCCAAACATCCCTTTTTCTAATCATTGCTGTCTAAGTGTTGACCCAATCGAAACATAATGCATCCTCAATATGGTCTCTGGATAACCAAGCTCAGCAGTGGGAACCACAACATTGAGCTTAATTCTGTTGTTTTGTGCAGAAAAACATCTACAACTTCTCCACATGGGCTTTGTTTTTAATCGGTTGGCAGCATTTAACAGCTCCACAAATTCCACGTAAGTGTGTCCAGCACATAATAATATTCTAATGAATCCTCATAGCAGCACTTTACTGGTAAGGACTGTTATAAATACTTGAGATGTATCCCCCCGGGGGGCTGCTTCTTTTACATGTTACATTGCCATGATGGAAAACATAATAACTGTTTGGTTTTTAGGGTATTTCCTTTCGTCTGATTTTTCATTTTCAAATACACTTACATTTCCACTACCAAGTCAATTACAAGTCAAAAGTACAATTTACACCTGTTAAAGTAGTTACGTGTATGAGAAACATTATGCCAGACCCATTAAATTGTTTCCTCTTCCTTGAACACATTTGTAAGAGTTCCATCAGTCATGTTCAGCAAAACCCACAAAATCTCCAAAATACAACAGTATCTGTTTCCAACAGCCCTGAATGTTCACCACACCCTTACCACAAAATATTCCTGTCACAATCATTCTGTTCAGGCATTTAAAAATACAAAGCAGAATATTGTATTCAATATTCAAGTTATACTTGGATAATGCTCAAAATATGGGAAAATGTTTTTTTTTTATTATGGGTCATTCTACAAAACGGAAGCCATTAGCGTTCACAATGTAACCAACATATGTGTAAAAATTAATTTAACAATAACTGATGCAAGATGAAATAATCACTTAAACAAAAATGTCTTAATATAGACATTTTTGTAACACAACACAAAAAATAGTATGTTAAGAGTTTGTTTTTTTTTTCTTCTTCATTCAAGGTGACTTTGATAACCAAAATAGCATTTTGGAACTTGAGCACAGACGTGTCTGTCAACCCAACTACCATCAACTCAGTTACCTTTCTGAAAGCATAATTGCATCTTTTAGCTTGTGATAATAACACTTAAACACATAATGTGTCTGAAAATCTTTTTTAAAATGTGCATATATATTTTGACATCAGTATGAACCATTGTTTCCAGAGTTTCTTGCAATGTTGCAACGACAGAATTACATTTTAAACAAGGGCAAGGGCACACCAAAAAGAAACATTCAAGATAGATATGTCAAGAAACCATGATAAGCCCATGGGAAAGGACAGACAGCCTTGAGGGAGGCAGAGACACACTCAGAAAGAGAGAGATACAGAGAGAGCTGTGGTTTGTGCCCTAATCATTTCCCACACTGTGGCCCTGGGGGACAGACAACCAGATGATGGGGTTATTTACCACAGAGATAAGAAAGTGTAAAAACAGTGAACGGTTGCTGTTAGTCTGAGGTCAGACTGAAAACATAATCTAAATTTCAGATATTACCAGCAATAGCAACAGCAAAACTCAACCAATGAGCACAAAAGAATTCGTTGTAAAAATACATATTTATATTCTGATTAAATATAACAACTGCTTTTAATTTCTTTTCATATTGTTATAATGATAATTCTAAGAAACTGACTAAGAAGCATCCATCAGTTTTCTCAGTGATTTTAGAAGGTTTAAGAGCGCCTCCTTGTTTCTGGTTCACAGTAAAACACCACAGAGGAGTTCATGAGTCTCCAATGAACGCACAGACAATCCATCCTGATTAGTAGACTACTGTCATCCATTGCTCTCATAGCCTTGTTTATTATACCTCTATAATGAAGGAAAGTTTCTTTCCCGTTCACAGTTAGCGACTTCAAAACACATTCGAGGCTCAGTCCATTTTAATTGTTCATATCCAAACGCATGCAAACTTTTCTGTTATGCTGTTATTATTAACCTATTATTTAACTTTTACTCTTATTTATATTTTTCTGTTATGCTTTTATTTATGTCTCTACAGACAATCCTCTGTAGCATTATTACCATCAATTGTAGAGATTTTTATTTTATTTTTTTATCCATGCACAAAACAAGAAGCTCAAAAGAGTTGGAGCAGCGAACATAAAGACAGTCAGATAAAGAAATTCCTACCTTCTGTGGGTAAGTGACGCTTGTGTTGTCAAGGTTACTTTTTCACATATCCATGCTGTGAATTTGAGTAAGTTAGTTTTCAGTGGAGTGCGTTCTGATCTGTCCATCCCAGTGTTTTTGGTTGGGAGGAGGGGGAGGAGGAGGATGAGGAAGCGCAGGAAATGATGAGAACCGTTATGTGAGAAATGGGATATGCATAGTCTATGTTAAACTATTTCACGTTGTCTAGATCGTTTACGAGGTAAATACTTTCGGGTAAACTAATACGCTCAGCTTTTCAGCAAAATATTTTAAATGAACAGTTCACTGTTTATTATGTTAAAAGTAGTGTATGAGTAGGACATACCGTCACTGCGTATTTTAGAGAATTCTCTTACTAATTACAAGTAGTCGGCTCAATTTTATAATCGTTTTTATTTTTTATAATGTAGCACGTTTAATTACGCATACTGCAGTAGAAGTAAACATTTTTTCTTTGCTAATTTTAGAGTGCATGATTTCAAAATGCAAGAACACAGTGATAATTAATGCAAACTGTCTGTATCAAGCAAACTCTAATAATAAACAAGGTTTAGTCGGACACATTGGTCAAGACGACAAACCTACACATCAAAAATAAATGAACACACTGGAGTCACTGGGGGTTGCTCAGGCAGACCAATGAGATGGGTCGGACATCATGGAGAAGACCCCACATTTAACACAGTACCAGAACCCACGGATAATAGTCCAGACTGTAAAAGGCTTTTAGCTAAGCACCACGTGACGGTCGAAGACAGATTTGCGCTGTTCTTGGACCTGCCTCTTCCAGCGCTGCTGAGCGTGCTCCACTTTGTTTAGCATGTTGGAGCGAGAGCGAGAACGGGAAAGCACGTCATGGGCATTGGCGAAGGGCTGCTGGTCCTATAACAACAGAGTATAATGTTAGCACACTTTATAGCATATGACTATCATTAGTGACACAATAAAGATCTATAAATGCATCTATTTCATTACACAGATTTTTCATCCAAACTACCAATACTTACAACATATATTAAATCTTGTATCCATAAAGATGTAGCAAAACACTTACCCCAACATCATCGTCACTCTGAATGAGCTGTGAATGGCCAAACAGCCTTCTCTTCAAAATAGGCTCCAACAGTGTCAGATAGACCATATACAACAACAGAAGGCCCAGAATAGACAGATATGCTATAATGGTGCCCTGTAAAAGAGAGAAAGAAGGGGGAGGAGGGGGAGGAGGAGGATGAGGAAGCGCAGGAAATGATGAGAACCGTTATGTGAGAAATGGGATATGCATAGTCTATGTTAAACTATTTCACGTTGTCTAGATCGTTTACGAGGTAAATACTTTCGGGTAAACTAATACGCTCAGCTTTTCAGCAAAATATTTTAAATGAACAGTTCACTGTTTATTATGTTAAAAGTAGTGTATGAGTAGGACATACCGTCACTGCGTATTTTAGAGAATTCTCTTACTAATTACAAGTAGTCGGCTCAATTTTATAATCGTTTTTATTTTTTATAATGTAGCACGTTTAATTACGCATAACTCTAGCCCTGTTCTTCGACGCTAATGCAAAAAGCCTGTTTGGAAACAGCGCCTCCTGGGGACTAAAATTGCCATTACCATTAACCGAAACTGCGTCATTTGAGCAGCGCGTTCGACAGCGCTGTTATTACCGGAACAAACGGAGACGAGAAACCGGAATTCACATATTAACAAAACTGTAATGTAAAGCAAAAGGTCAAAACAGCTCTCTGTTAAATCGTGTACCTGAACATTTCAATTATTATATATACAGATAGTAATGACAAAGAATATAATTCTGATACCATCAAAGCATGTACCTCATGAATGCTGTCCTTCAAAAAACAACAAAAGGAACTGTTGTACACCATAATGAATCTAAATCTACACCAAAATAGTGAAGAACTGAATTGAGAGGTTAGTCGTACAGCATATAATTTGGAGACAATGACAAAACACATTCACTTATCATTATTTACATATAATAGTTGACAGGAAACCGCAAGGTAAGAAAGAGAAGAGTAAGAATAGAAAAGGGGGTAATTTTACACTGTACAATAAGACTGGAAAGTAATATTTTGCGTTTAGTAACAATCCTGAAAATTTATATAAAAAGATTTAATTAGGGCTGCACGATTAATCGCATGCGATATTTAACGCGCATCTTATCAGTAAAGCCGGTCTGTAATCAGCGGTAAATCTCCATCACCTGCGTGCTTTCACATTGAGCAGCATTAACTACACAGAGCCGTTGTTCACTGACGAGCTGCGCTAAACCACGTTCATATTCGCGCGATTTTTTGCGCAACTCATCAGTGAACAACGGCTCTGTGTAGTTAATGCTGCTCAATGTGAAAGCACGCAGGTGATGGAGATTTACCGCTGATTACAGACCGGCTTTACTGATAAGATGCGCGTTAAATATCGCATGCGATTAATCGTGCAGCCCTAATATTAATGAATAAATGCATCAGCCTAATTTTATGAGGAAATTGGCACTTCTATCCCCACATCAAGTTCGGTGTGACTGGACTGCAGTAGAAGTAAACATTTTTTCTTTGCTAATTTTAGAGTGCATGATTTCAAAATGCAAGAACACAGTGATAATTAATGCAAACTGTCTGTATCAAGCAAACTCTAATAATAAACAAGGTTTAGTCGGACACATTGGTCAAGACGACAAACCTACACATCAAAAATAAATGAACACACTGGAGTCACTGGGGGTTGCTCAGGCAGACCAATGAGATGGGTCGGACACATGGAGAAGACCCCACATTTAACACAGTACCAGAACCCACGGATAATAGTCCAGACTGTAAAAGGCTTTTAGCTAAGCACCACGTGACGGTCGAAGACAGATTTGCGCTGTTCTTGGACCTGCCTCTTCCAGCGCTGCTGAGCGTGCTCCACTTTGTTTAGCATGTTGGAGCGAGAGCGAGAACGGGAAAGCACGTCATGGGCATTGGCGAAGGGCTGCTGGTCCTATAACAACAGAGTATAATGTTAGCACACTTTATAGCATATGACTATCATTAGTGACACAATAAAGATCTATAAATGCATCTATTTCATTACACAGATTTTTCATCCAAACTACCAATACTTACAACATATATTAAATCTTGTATCCATAAAGATGTAGCAAAACACTTACCCCAACATCATCGTCACTCTGAATGAGCTGTGAATGGCCAAACAGCCTTCTCTTCAAAATAGGCTCCAACAGTGTCAGATAGACCATATACAACAACAGAAGGCCCAGAATAGACAGATATGCTATAATGGTGCCCTGTAAAAGAGAGAAAGATGATAATTTCTCTAATATTTAAACTTGTTTTTTTTTTTTTAAGTTAGCATATTATATACCATACCATATAAAGACATTGAACTTACTTTGATGGTTCCAGAGCTCCTTTCTTCATATTTGCATTCACAGCGTAAACAATATGCCTCCACATCTTTGCCTTCAACAGGCATCGGCTCCACCACATGAAGGCAATTACTGTGCAAATGATTGTATTTGAGAAGTTATGGATCAGTGAATAGAGAGTCATGGGATTAGTTTATTACAGAAGTTACTGTAGACTCGTATTAAGACTAGTAAATCAGTTACCAGTCCTTCAAGGAAACGTTTTGATTGTAGATCTGCCCAGCAATTTCCTTATAAGGTGGACAAATACATTTGCACCTGATGTCTTCTGAATTCTGTGAAGAGTGACCACAGATACACAAACTCATATAAACCATACTTTTGTCAGTTTAGAATCCACCTGACACTGTTTCCGATAAAGAAAGTGTTGATTTGCTAATTTATTATTACGTATTATTACCTTTTATTTCGCAGAAACATTGAACATGCTAACGGCTACACGAAGTATATCGTTTATGTATTAAAACACAGTAATAAATATCATATTTTACCTTAGCTTCTGATGTTTTTGCGGATAATATCAGCAGGAAACCCATTAGCGATGAAAACGTCAACAGATTGACAGCGGCTCTTGAGGTCAATCGATACATCTTTTCGCTTCCGCTAAAGACACCGTCGCCAAATATTGAAGAGAGATGTACCAGAAAAACGAGTAGATATTATAGTAGCAAGAACTCTTTTAGTCCAAATAAACGTCAACAAAACAAAGCGTGACGGCTGGACTCTGTTTGACACATCAGCTGATCATCAGCAGCCGGTCCGCGCTTTATCACTTCCCTCCGGAAACACGTGGGTGGGAACCATTCTTCCGTAACTGAACAGCGTTCTACCTGAGACTGAGTTCAGCTCTATCGTTCAAAAAACACTCCCTCGTATCACTACTATATTCAGTCAGGTGCTATATGCTTCAAACTGCATTAACTACAAATAGATCAGTCACCGTCATTTATTTGAACTTAAATGTGTTGACAGCCTATTTTAACCTATTTATATGTAGGCTAATATGCCTCATTTTATACAACTTTTTATTCGTAAAACAAGGTTATTTTTTCAGATTTATGGAATGATAAAAAGAGATCCCCTCTTCATGTTTTGATGAATTAAATGTAATGTGTCAACAAAATGAAACATTTTGAACCTGGCTTTAGCCAATGTTCAGATTTCTGTTCTGGAAAGGTATGCAAATTAGTGCATATTTAATTAGATAATGCCTACATTTCCATATTTTATCATAACATTTTAGAAAATGTTTGCAATTCTTAATTCAACTGTGGAAGAACGGTGAGATCTATTCAAAAATTACACCTGGGGTGTCTTGCCTTAAGCCATAATTTCTGTTTTAGTGGTTTAACAAAGAAAAGTTTAATTTATCCAAGAACCCCCTGGTTGTAAATCGCTGATCTAGGCTATTGCAAAAGCATTGCTTTTGATACAACAAAGACATTTTGAGTGCATTTCTTTATTTACATGTTAGATGTACAACCATAAAAAATATAAACATTTAATTTACTCTGCATGTCATCAATGAGTAATCAATCCTACATCAAGAGCCTCTTAATCCAAAAATCAGTTAGGTGATGGAAGTGTGATAGAAGTGAATGCAGAGAAACTGAGAAGTGATATCTTAAATGTCTAACCAGTGCCACTGAAAATATTGTGTACATCTACGGTTTCTGACTGGAAACAAATGAAGAATACATATATGTCATGTATGAAGAAGGCTACAATGCAAAAAAAGAATACAATATAGTAACATGAGAGCTGATGCTAATTTTTTTTTACATAATGTACAACACATTCAAACTTGCAAAAATGACTTTAACTGCTTTAACTTCCACTACATTCTAAGTAGTTGTCTGAAGTTTCAAAATAAGCTGGTCAAACATATTTTCACAAAAAATAGCAAATTTTGTGAAATGACCTATAATATATAACAAGCAATCTAGTTGCTCTTCTTTTTTCTGACTATAATTCAGGCTGTAATTAACATGTTTTTGTAACACAGTCACTTCTGGGCAATAAAGGAATGAAACAGGAAGAATCATTTTCTTGAAAGGTGGCAGTTCATTTTAGAATGGTTAGAAGGGCAGCAATAAATCCATTCACTGGAAAAACAGTTCATTTTCTTCAGGAGAAAAAATTCCAATGGTTTGTTTTGATTTGATGTATTTAGGAAAGTTTCTTGTGAGCTCTCATCTCATCAGGTTCAAGAATTCATCTTGAATCCGCAAGTATGCAGGCGGCCAAGAGCATTCAGGAATATTTGTTCCAGGTCAGTCATTTAAAATTTCTCTGGAGCACCAAATATTTATTCCGTACAAGATTATTTCACAAAATTCAGGGGCGTAGGAATCTCAAAACTTTGGAGCGGAGAAATCTGATAAATGATTTTGGAAACATTTCTCTAGACTCTTGTGCAGTGTAGTTGAAGAAGTTTTGCGGATGGGCCAGGACATCAAACAGGGCCTTCATAAGCTTCTTGTCCTGTAAAGTTAATAAGAAAACATAAATGGACTTTAAAAGTCAATTACAAAACACCAGTACAATATATTCTACCGTCTTCCACAGGGTGGCACTATTGTCTGTTTTTTCCTACTGGGATCTGCAACGGCAAACCTCTTGATTTTAGTACTTGCCTCACATTAATTACTTAAAATCAAGTTACAATGAAACCGGTTTAAAAGTTGCTTTGAAAGACAAATTAATGCACTATACCTTAAGAATTTCTTGATGA